TTGGCCTAGATCTTCTACCGGGTGAGCCCGCGATCCACTAAGACTATGCAGATGATATCGCCTTACTTTGGGACGATCTACAGAGTCTGCAACTCATGCAGAATCATTTGGCGGTTGAACCAACTAAGTATAGCACGAGCTTCGCCCCCCTTGAAGTGTAAAGTACGTCTCCAGGAGTGGGTAACACCCGTTCCTGTGCTCAGGCTTGAAAGTGTGCAGCTCAAGCTGGTAAATAGTTTAGTCCACCCTGGGAGCTGTTTTTGTAAGTGGCGCTATCAACAAGGAAGTGTCTCTTCGCTTCGCTAAAGCTCCATCAGCACCTGTGACACCATCGAGAGGCCTCTAGCTCGATAAAACGCGAGGTTTACAGATAATCCGTCCGTTCAATGTTGTTGGCTACGAGTCCTGGCCGATCCGCTTAGAGGACAAGCGCCGTTTTTCGGATTTCGAGGACGGTTTTTTGTGGAGCATCACACATGTTTGGTAGCAACACCGAGTTCGCAGTGAGGACGTTAAACATCGCGCCCTGGGTAATACGAGTATCCCCTCAACAAGCTGTCTTTGCTACGCCAGTTGAAATGGCTCGGTTATGTTCTACGCATGGTGCCCGAGCGTTCGTCATGCCGCATTCTGTTCGTTCAATTATGACCGAGTTGGAGGCGACCACGTGGTGGTCAGCCTTCCACTTGGAGACAGCACATGAAATCGCTGACGTCTCATCAGCCGCCGTTGCACCCGTATGCCTTCCTGGAGCGGGACCCAAGGATGAAGATTGCCAGTGCCTTAACACGCTTGAAGACATGGTCTGAAACCGGAATCAGTATAAGAACCGTCTGCAGAATTGTATTGATTCACATGTTTAATCCACCCAATTGTCAACACTTCAAATAGCCGATAAACATCAGCACATGATAAACAAACAAAAACTCACCTTTGTCCTATTTTTGATTTAGTTGTATTATTTTAACTTCTACAGTTTTTCAATGGCTTCATGTCTAATCCTTGGATTGAATATATATATGCTTGGCGGCATCCGGTTTCGGATTTGCCTGTCACTGTGGCAAGCCACAGGACGCCTGCGCCTACAGGGGGACCATGGATGGCTTGCGCTGCACCACCCACAGCTCCAACCACATACCCCATATCCAGTGTAAACCCGAAGGAATAAGACCGGGAGGCATGTGGATGGGAACCACGTTTCATCAACGGAGCCGGCCCACACTCCTTCACAGGCAAACACAAGCACACTGTATTTGGGGAATCAAGCGCACACAAGGCGGTGGCTGGACCGTAGTCCGCTCCACACTGAGTGCATGGAACCGCTCTTTGAGCCTAGCACGGCCACAAGAACCGTGCACCCCGTCCCCTCCAGCAACGACCAACTGTCTCCTGGAGCCAGTATGGACGATGTAGTGGGTAATAGACAGGTAGGCACCTTGTCAACATGCACATCAAGCGCAGCCACACCGGGGATATCAAACAACAGCCAAACACTTGAGAGAGAGAGAAAGAAAAAGAGAAAAACTCGATTAATGCATAAGGAAACGGTGACATAAACCTTAATTAAATAGCATACGTAATAAGTTGTTTACAAACAAATCCTAGCTAAGTGCACGAGGTCAGGAAGTATAGTTCACGGTATGCCACGAACACAAAAATGTTATGGAAATCGAATACAATTGGCTTAGGCGATGTGTGCAAGTTAATGGAATAGAGTACAGGGAGATATTTATATGAGAAAGAAAAGCAGTAAGGTAAAAACTGCTAAGTCTCTTTATTTCAGGTGGTGGGTTTACAGTTTTTTTTACATACATACATTGTTGGCGGCATCCGGTTTCGGATTTGCCTGTCACTGTGGCAAGCCACAGGACGCCTGCGCCTACAGAGGGACCATGGATGGCTTGCGCTGCACCACCCACAGCTCCAACCACACACCCCATATCCAGTGTAAACCCGAAGGAATAAGACCGGGAGGCATGTGGATGGGAGCCACGTTTCATCAACGGAGCCGGCCCACACTCCTTCACAGGCAAACACAAGCACACTGTATTTGGGGAATCAAGCGCACACAAGGCGGTGGCTGGACCGTAGTCCGCTCCACACTGAGTGCATGGAACCGCTCTTTGAGCCTAGCACGGCCACAAGAACCGCGCACCCCGTCCCCTCCAGCAACGACCAACTGTCTCCTGGAGCCAGTATGAACGATGTAGTGGGTAATAGACAGGTAGGCACCTTGTCAACATACACATCAAGCGCAACCACACCGTGGATATCAAACAACAGCCATTCACTTTAAACGACAAGCTGAAATAAAATAAATCCAATAATGCATACAGATACGGTGGCATAACTCTTCGCTAATTTACCATATGAAGTAACTGCGTTAACAACAAATCCGTGATAAGTAAGAAATGTCCACAAGTTACTTAAAATGCTACAAACGCAACAAAATTACCGTAGATAAGCACAATTAGTGTATGCAACGTGGCCAGTTAATAGAACATTATTCAGGGAGGCAGAACAAACCAAATAAAGCGGAATGAAATTTATCCAGCTTAAAAAGACCTAGTTTAAGTGTAAGTTGGTTTAGCCCAACTGCGGTGAAGAAGCATCAAGAATGCAACATCAGCCTCAGCATGGGGCACACATACATGCATGGTTGGCGGCATCCGGTTTCGGATTTGCCTGTCACTGTGGCAAGCCACAGGACGCCTGCGCCTACAGAGGGACCATGGATGGCTTGCGCTGCACCACCCACAGCTCCAACTACATCCCCATATCCAGTGTAAACCCGAAGGAATAAGACCGGGAGGCATGCGGATGGGAACCACGTTTCATCAACGGAGCCGGCCCACACTCCTTCACAGGCGAACACAAGCACGCTGTATTTGGGGAATCAAGCGCACACAAGGCCGTGGCTGGACCGTAGTCCGCTCCACACTGAGTGCATGGAACCGCTCTTTGAGCCTAGCACGGCCACAAGAACCGCGCACCCCGTCCCCTCCAGCAACGACCAACTGTCTCCTGGAGCCAGTATGGACGAGGTAGTGGGTAATAGACAGGTAGGCACCTTGTCAACATTCACATCAGGCGCATCCACACAGGGGAGCTCAAGCAACATCTACTTCTGAAATGCAAGATTATTCATCACGCAGGCAAACGTATCACATACGCTGCCTTATTGGCCTGGATTAGTAAATTGAATGGGAACATACTCATGGTGCTTCTATTCCGCGTACAATTGTGCCTTCTCCGGCACCTGAGAAACCGCCATTTTGAGTAGTTCACGGAATTCGCATCGATCAAATTTGCCTTGGATTCGCAACACCTGAAATCAACATGAGTTTGTCATAAACTCACCTTCCTCATGTTCTGGTAATATTATTTTCGGTTTGCTCGAATGTCGTTCTACTGCACCAAGTTAACCGTACAAAAGCGGTATGAAGATCCTCGTGGAATTCATTCGGTATACATATATACATAGATTGGCGTCATCTTTGTCCAATGGCAGTTCGAATGCAACGTATGTACATGCGTTTATGCAAACTTAAGTGTGAGCTGTCACAAAGTGGATAGAGACACATTAGACATCATCATCAATGGTACGACAAACGTGTTTGGGTTTCGTTTGGAGGTCAGGCTAACAACCACTTTTGCAGGTATGAGAATAACTACCCCATACGAACGGTTGATGTTTTCTTCCACATTTAGACGTGACTGCCTTAAATCTTGGGCATCCATATTTGAAGGAATCCGATGTGGCAATAGTAAAGCAACTGCTAGGTAGAATGATGACTAGACTATTGGTACAGTGAAATAGTGTGCACTTAGGTGTTGCCCTCCAGTTATCCCTCAGCCATACTGAATTTACCGGGGGCCTATGAAAACACACGTATTAACCGGATGGAAGGCAGACGTGCAGAGACGCCTACCAGAAGTTGCATTGCACATGGCCAATCTTTTGAATGGATTAAATAAAAGGTTGCATCTAACGGGAATGGTACGTCAGTGTGTCATTATATAACATCGGAAATGAATCGGCGCATAGCGACAATGGTTTTATGAGTACCGAATGGGCTGCACCTGGAACGTACGATATAGACCGTTAGCAAATAGCTTATGGCCACAGTAGAGTACAGGTCGGTAGGTAAAAACGGTTGAGTACTTGGACATTTGCACAATAAATGTGAACACTGTTTGGAAAGTCGCATGTTTGACAGTGGGCAGCGGGACTTAGTTGATGTCACTTGTCAATACCAAAGGTTGCGCATCAATCGTTCTTTGAGTAGGTGCACATGCCTCGGGCAGCACATGACATACATACATACATGGTTGGCGGCATCCGGTTTCGGATTTGCCTGTCACTATGGCGAATATATATATATATATATATATATATATATATATATATAAACTGTTTCTAGCAATAGTTAACCCTGTTTATTCCCTTTAATCCTGTCAAATATAAATCGAAATAGCTTGGGTAAGCACCGTAGAAAAATGAGCTCACTAAATACTGTACGGCCCTTGTGTAGTTATTTCCCTGAGGGTTTCAGAGCGGCATGACATCAAACGGCCTCCCTTAGTCACTGCTCTGTTTGGTTACAGTTTACTTACTCTGTTCGAAAAATATAGGTTGCACACAACTATAAAGAATAAGCTCAAGTTAACTTCGACGTCATTCTTGAGCAGTACCTGTATCAACTTATACCTCGTTGAAGGTGTTTAGTCTATTAGCTCGACACACGAGAAAATTTATTAAGGAAATTCCATTTTTCTAAGACCGGAATGTTGCCCAGTTTTGAAAACAGGTGGCTAACCTATTGCTTACTACGATATTGGTTACTGACCATTCCTACAACTTACATGTATACTACAGCATGGATGGCACAGGGTGATCGTCGATCTTAAAGCCAGCTTCCGAGTGCATGGAGAGACTGATGGACACGTCGAGATACTCACTGAAGAAATGTTCATTGCCTTTCTTTGTCTCCTAACAGGATTGGTTGGTATCACGAGAACTTCGGGACAGAGTTGCGGCCAATGCGAATCACTGGGCCAACACTAACCACATGCCTGTTCATCTGGCATACCTTGACTGTGATAGTCACAATAGCGACCTGATTCTGTGCGAACATGACCCGGCCGGTCAACACAATTGCCCACACACTTATGATGTGGTCCTTCGATGTCATCAACCCGGCTGGGCAGGAATTCGCGTCGCTGCGTCCGACACAGGATCCCGGACCCCGGTTCGTCACGTGCATCTGTCTGATGCGGGTCTGTTGGATTACATGCGTTTGGAGTACACACCGGCGTTCCAGCTGGATTACTACGGTTCCACCATTGAACATCTGTCGGTAAGGAGCGATGGTGCTCATTATTGCAGCGAAGTCTTTTGGTGAATCTCCTACACTCGACTTCTGTTTACTTCCAAAGGTTTCTTCACAGGTTCTAGTGCTGTCACGTGACCGCTTAAATACTCACGGCTAAGGGTTCTCGGAAGCAAGACAGTGACAAATATTACCTTTTAGGTCATGTGTTGACCATCAAATCTGTCGCAAATCTGACTCAGGGCTAAGTGTTAGGGATATACTTCAGATGTATATTGGTATGCAATTCCGGTTTGACCCCCACATCTTTGCTCAGACTAAGTTTCCATCTTAAGACATTTGGCCTCGTAGATGGCTGAATGTCAAGCTGGTTTAGATTCTCTTCAAGAGGTGGAAAATCCCATGACTGGGAAGTCATGGGATTGAGCTGCTTTGTGTGCTGCGAATTAGGGAATCTTTTGTTTTTTGTTTCAACTGGTTTCTAATTTTTTCCAACCAGTGTTCCCCGCTTCGTAACTTAAGTCACCCGACCCATGCTTCACTCCAGCGGAGCATGGTATTCTAGCAACCTAAAGATGAAGTTGTGCGGAGGATTAGGCTCGTGTTTGGCGACCAACCAAACGAAAGTCGTGTAGCATGAGTGCTCAGTCACCAGCGCCAAATTTGTACGATTCCATGCCTTCTCGCTTTTGCCTTGCGGGTGGGCTATTCAGTCAAAGACTCGGGATGATGTTCCCTAAGACAACGCCATACTTTGTCTTGGACAACTGGCTAGCACTGTGCACTTTAAAGAAACGGTTGTTTTATCTGACTTGTTTAGTTTATACTTTTCGAAAATTGTACGTTCCTTTGATTTCCCTTGTTTCTACTGGCTGATATCTATCCGTAAAGTGCTTAAAAAATCCGTCCGACCAATATGTACTACGGGGAAGATTAGGTAGTGCACCACGGCAAATTGTGATGCATTTTCGAGTAAAAATATAAATCCATACTCTTCACAAATGACTTTGTGAGGAGGCGCTGTTCATATTTTCTCATATTTACTGATGACCTAAAGATATGGCGTGCAGTCACTACAGTGGAGGATCTCACATCACTGCAAAGTGATCTACATAGGTCTTACACATGGTCCACCGAGAACATGTCTTAGTTCAAGGCCACCAAATGCAAGATTCTGAGCATACATCGTCAAAGCATTCACGACTGCCGACGAGGGCCACAGACACTACAGCGCACTTCTCACGAGAACGATCTCGGGGTGCTCGTGAAAGATGATCTTGCCTGTTTGATGCAGAGCGAAATAGTAGCAAGGAAAACCATTCAGCATCCTGCGTAGGGCTTTCGGAAAGTTCGACGCCTTAATCTTCCCACAATTGTTTGGCGCGTACCTCAGGCCGCATGTGGAATACGCTATCAAAGCGTGGCTACCCTGGAAGATGCGCCACCTCATCGCGCCCAACCCTGAACAGCGCAGGGTGACAAAGAAGGCCAAAGGTTTGCTACACCACTCCTATCAACTAAGGCTGGAAAATCCTAATGTACAACGGATGTTATCAGCGTCTACAGAGCGACCTCACAATAGTGTAGCAAATCTTAAAACCCAACCACACGTGAACATCTTCCAAAAGTTTACCAAAACACTTCTCAGATAGGCCATAGGAGTACAGCGGACTGAAATGACAAGGAAATTCTTTCTCCAAGTGTCACAATACTGTAACTCCCTCCCAACACATGTAATTAATTTCTTGCGTTATCTGCATCCAAGAGAGGAGTGCCGGCACACTGGCACATCGACACCACAGGACATAGACGGTGACTATCAGATGATGGCATCAGTGCAGGGCAAACAGCAAACTTATCAGACCCCCTTAAACTCCAGGCTACTGCAAACCTGGTAGGGAGCCCACAACTTGCGCATTAGTTTATGAACACTGTTTTCATCTTGTAATTTCTACCGTAATCGTGCTACTGGACTACTCAAACGTTTGCTTTTTTAAACACTATAAGCCACCGTTCCATTGCTCCATCATAATCGAAACAAGAAATAAGGCAAAACAAACAGTGTGCTTACCAGCTTTCGCCGGAACCCGACGGCAGAAAACCTGAATCTGTGTTCAGGTGAGTCGTTTGTGTGTTGCCTAAACCACCATTTTTCCTTTTTCATACCAGTTTTACTTTTGGCTTTGTAACCCCCACTCCGGTCATCCTACGGAACCTAACAAGCACTCGCTTTTTCACCCATTAAAAATCCTTATTCATTGTCTGCCAAATGTACTATGCATGTGTTTTGACACCATATAACCATGTACTTTTATTGTGCGGCTTCTTGCCATTTTTGATGGATAAACCCACAGAATCTAGAGTTGATCACAAAGAATTCGGAGTACTGTTTGCCGCGTAACGCAGCTATTACCACGATAATAACTGCGCTCTTATCTAATGCATCAGACTAGAGGCACGGTTCATCTGAGGAAACAGTGATTTCTATCATTTTCTTGATGTGTTAGACCACTCTTTCATGCAGCCCTATTAGATAATCGGCGAAAACAGAATTACATTTTGCAATCTGCAAGACAGTAAAAATGTTCACGTGAAAAGAGCACAGCGATTCCAATTGGCTCAGCTTTAAATGGAGAAAATCAACCTGAAAAATGAATCATCAAACGTACTAATGTATTAACCGTCACCATGAAAAATTGTGTCCATTTTACTACCTTTTATATATTTTTATTTGCCGCTGCAACGCAATGATGCCGCTATGAGTAGGCCCTGCTTACCAAACAGTAGTTACAAGTAATATTCGAGATGAGCCAAGCGGAGTAGCCATACCAAAGGATCGTATTCCCGAAGGGCCAGTTGGCGATGAAGTCACCAACAAAAGGATACCATTCGTTCGAGTTTAACAAGGGCGTGGGCTAGATATTGAAAACTGCCCCACTGAAAGTTGCAGTGGAACACGGTGGTTTAATGACGACGACAGCGAAAATCAAGTATGCATGTTCCAGTTGAGGCCCAATGGGTCTTCAGTGAGTTTAAACTGAAGCGCAGAACCCCATTGTGTTTAGCAGTACATACTACACTTGGCGTAACTGGAGGGATGCAGGAAGAATTCGGTGACATCACACGCGGCGGTGCAATAGACCAACCCGACACAAACATCACAACACACTACCACATGGGCTGCCTGCTGAGCTAATGCACACTGCAATTTGAAGGCAAGGATTTGGTTGATATGCTCAACGCTTTACTTTCCCCCTTCAAATTCAGACGCAGTACCACCCCTGTACGTGAATAACGGATGTATAAGCATTGTGTCTTACGTATAACCGACCACTGGCATACGCGAAGTATTCAGTTATTGATTTACCCAATCAATTACATTTATGTAGTTGAGTCCCGCGCTGAGCGAAACAGTAGATTATGTGCCCCCCCCCCCAAGCGTTTTGTTCTTTATACTCAGAAAGCGAGCTCTCGCAGAGCTACCGCATTTGGTTCCTGGTATAAAACTGTTTAATAACAGCCTACTTCAGATAGTACGAATGATAGGTCTTTCGTGCTCCGGAACTTTGCTATTTGCATGCACTGCTAACTCTTTCACATTGCACCTAAAATACTGGTCCTCACTTTGATAACCCCGCGATGATGTGGCTACAAGTTAGTTGGTGTGCACGAATATCACATCCACATTATGGCACTTTTTCGCTATTCAGTATATAGAGCGACGACAGATGGGAAGTTCTCAGAACCCGACAAGTCCCTAACTGGAATTTCTGTTTTGCTTGCGTGTATTTCCCAGCCCACGTTACGCTTCAATTGATGAAGGTTACTTGGCTCGACGCTAGGTTGTACTATCCCTTTCAGCTTACGGGAATAACTACCGACCGAAAACTAGTCGGTTAACTTTTCCGACTATCTGCAAGCCCCTAGGGATAATCAACAAAGCAACCTGTTAACTGCGCAAACGGTGCGCTGAAGCAACCAAAGGTTTAAGTTGGGATGCCCGTTAGGGTCGAGCATGAGTGTTTGCCAAATTACCCACAGGCCAAATACACTAAGCAACGGCAGGTAAACAGGTAATTGGTTCACAAAAGAGAATTCTTAAATCATTCGGTGCGTAGGTTCTTTAAAAATAGCATAATAAAGATGAAGGTGTTGCTTCTCAACGACGTGCTACCATAGCGCACTTTCCGAATTCAATTTACTACAGACCAACATAATTGGAGCGGGTTGGTGGGCAACTTCGTCCGTTGCACAGGTTGGGCAGCAAACCTACACCTCCGTACTTTGCGGCAGGGTGCAGCAGCTTCAAATCCACCATATTTCACAACAACAAAAATTCTTGCATAGCGCATGACAAGTTCTTCATCTGAGTGGTAGAAATGAAAGGATGGACTAAGGTATGGAAGCAATAGAAACCGTGCTCCTAAAAACACTTTCATGAAACCCTGTGTAAATAAATAAACCCACTGACTGCGGAAGTTGGTTGAGGACTAACACAAGGGCTTTTTGCGGAACAACTAAGTCCTGTTTATTAGACATCAATTGCATCCAGCCATGAATCTCCATTGGTTAGACGCACAGAAATATGGATCCCAGGCAATAGCGGGCGCTGAAGCGATGGCGTATTTGAGGGAACAAATGGTTATCACATAGGCAAAGTTGAAATGATGGCTTGTTCCGACTTATGGTGCAAGAGCTAAACCCATGGACACTGTGAACACAAATCCAAAAATCATTGTGGAAAACACAAGATGGGAAGCTCCATGGAACAGGTTGTTTCCATTTAGGATAGAGTGTTCAGACACCGCATGATCTTTTCACAGAGATTGTAACATCTAGGTGGGCTTCTTGCAACCATCCTTAATAAAGCAGAAACTTTGACAACAATGGGTATCTGAGTTAGCCGCAACCTCGGAATTTGGATATGTCTCATACTGAATTCAAAGGGAAGTAATTCCCCACACATACGAGTAAACTCGATGCTAAAAACCCACTGCTACAATTGTCTGAACCGACTTTCGAGATTATTTCTTTCTCCGACTGTGGTTTAGATAAAAGGGGAAACACATTTTGCCTTACTGGAATCCTGTTTGAAAGATTTTCATATGATCTGATAACGCACTAATAATCTCAGGTTGGAGTAGCTTAATGTAGTCATTGCGTGCAATTTAGATTTTTGAGTCACTTTGTCTCTCTTTATCGATGGAGGGTTGGCGCAAAAACAGCAAGGTCTGATCTAATCAATTTCGATTTGGGTAAGCTTTGCATTTCGTCCACACTCAAGTAGAGCATACAATAGAGCCTACAGTGTCAGAGGCTGAGTGGTATCAGAAGCATTTATGACGAACTGATGGGAACATTACCATGGAAAGTGCTTGATTTGAGACAGTTTTAAATTCGTCCGGAAAAGTTAGGCTTGGTTATCCGGTAGCTAGTACAAAAATTCATAGGAATCGGAGCACAATAAACCGGAAGGAACTGTCGCTGAGCAAAGACAGCAAATTCATTAAGAGCAGTCAATAAGCACGCGATCCGCAATTGTAAGAAATGAATGGCTACGAAACGCGCCGAAATACATCGCTAAATTCTACAACGGGCTCCACAGAGAGCAACAAATGCAGCGAGTAAAGTTAATCAAATCCACCCGGAATGTAGTTTAGAACAATCACCGGACACACAAAATATCGGCTGGATAACCAACCGAATGGTGGACGGACACTATAAGAGGGGTTTCATATGAACGCTAGTGGCTCCAGATGTGCAAGTAGATGACGAATTATTCCCCGGACAACTTATTTATTCATGCGAAATACCCATTTCGTGATAGGCATCGACTGATTGATGGGAAGCACGCCATTTATTTCCGCTCAACGCGTCACACTACAAAACATTCGTCTGCCTCACTGTAGTCCACTACAATACACGAGCGACAACCGAAAGGCCTAGCTTACCGCATCCTGGGTGGTTTCTTCAAGACCCTCTCGAAGGGTCAACTCGACAACAGTTTCAGAGCCAGTTAACTGGTCAGCGTGCTTCAGTGCTAGGTTAAAGCTCTATGTGAAGCATGTGTAGTTGTATCGAGCGACCAAAATGTATGTACAGAACGGCGGATTTATGGGATCATTTTAGTCTCACAGCGGGGCGAAAGTAGTTATCAAGTTTGCTCAGAATGAATCGCAGTGCTAATCGATGAAGAGTCCGTTGGCTCTCAAGTGGTTACTTGCTAATTTAGACTGGGTGTTGTTTCTCTCTCCAAGTCTGCAAATAAACCCCACTGTGAGTATACTTTTTCTCAGCCTATTGCATCCATAATGCTTTCCAATTCCTCCTTAAGGAAATCGTGTTTCTCCGTAGATCTCTCACGATGGTCCTTAACGCTATGCAGTTGCCTCCAACTGGCACAAAATCCGCAAATTCTATTGTTCATTGAGTGACCAATCCCCAATCAGACAATATTATTCCACTGAGTACTCCTCCTTTACACTAGCAGCTGATTTGGCATTGGGTGCTCAACGAACAGTAGGCATTTTTAGAATTAGTTGCTCTTGTTGCATGCAACTTAATAGCGTTTAGTACCATCTTTAGAGATTTAAGGAGGAGCATGATTTCCTTAAGGAGAAATTTGAAAGCGTTACGGATGCGATTGGCTTAGAGAAGGTATCGTAGTGGCTGTCTTTGCTAGTGTATTTTTGTCCACGATTAACTTCGCGGGCCCTTGCCACCGACAACTAAGCTGATTATTATGTGCGTTTCAAGCTTTAGTAACCGCTGCTCACTCTGCTTACTCCTTACCGTACTCATTGATCTACCTGTGACTGGCCACTCTGAGCATTGCTACAGCTTTGGTGGAATTCTCGCAAATCTGCTCGTGCATCATTCACATTGTCCACGGAACATGATAACGAAGGCTGCTCCGTTTGGTGTTCAGATACTGCCATTTGCTGCTCCAAACGGCACATTTTTATTCTCCAGGTTTATTTTCAAGTTATCGGCAGAAACGGCTTGGGCGCCGTTAATACTTCTTTGTTCTGCGTGACGTTGTTGTTTCTTCACGAGTTCGAATACATGTTTTGGTCTAATACGAACTGCATCCTTCTGAAGTATCCATGAGGCGCAAAGAGTTGATTGTTTGGACAGCAAGTATCCGTAATGACTGCTAGATTGGACAACTTCAGCTTCACTCATCTGTGAATGTCTTTCTAAACTTAGCCTGGTGAACTGTTGCTCTCAGTCTTGGTCAAGTGGTGCTAGCGCGTTTCCTCCTAGATCACCACTTGCAATCTCCGGACGTTCCTCGAGTGCCAGGACATGGCCCAATTCCCTCGTTACTTCGCTATAACCGGATTCTGCCACGGTGGCACTTCTTCTTGGAGCGCTCAACACTTCATTAGCGTGCATTGAGATCAAGGTTGACGTGGGGTTTATTAAACTTGTGCTTCTGTATCACCCTAACCGTTTTTGCATGTTACGTTCGCGCTGTTATTACTCCAGTTTCCATGTCGTAGGTTTGGTGGGACATTCTATCTTTTGAGTACTTTCGGCTTTCCATTTAACTTTGATGAAGTTGTCAACTACTGATGTGTAGGCCACCTCTAAATGCAATGCAAAAACCACTGTGGTTCATTGAAATGCGGAACAGTTACTATCGCTCTGTATTTGCTGTTTTCCTATAGATCAAGAGAAGTCGATCTCACGGTCTACGCTTAGTCCAAAGTCACCCACTGGATGGAACCACATTAGTAAACAGCCAAATAATGGACAGCTTTGAGCACGCGCTTTTGACTCATACACCGTGGCTTCAGATTCTCAACTGCAGTCTGAAGCGAAGTCAAGTTGGAGCTGGACTCGCATACGTTCCCTCCATATCCCCCGGAGAGATATTTCAACTCAGATCAGGTATGGTCCAGACCTTGACATTGTTCGATCAGTCGGCCGCTGGCAATACCAAGGAGCCCGTTTTGGAAGATTGGAATTTGGTTAAACAGTGGCACAAGCTTCATCCTACTGGCTTGACTTTTGTGAATGTGCAGTCTGGAAGGATGAGAGAAAAGGTTTGGTCTCAGTTATCCCCTTTGTCTATGCACTTAAGCATTGCTCCTCGGGTTAGTATATCTCCATGTAAATTGGACTCGGTAAAACATGCCGTTGTGCCTTCAAAGTCATAACTCAGTACAAAATTCTTGCGCCTGGAGGCAAGGAACCACCTTAGTCCGTTTAAAAGAGGGAGATCCGAAACAGTTCGTGAACTGACAGTTTTAACCATTACTTTTTGAACATTGTTGAAACATGATTACTTTGGTCCATTAGGATACCATATGTAACGTCATAGAGATCTCATGTATAACTATTTCATGTATGTCACAGAGCACTGCTGAAGTCGCTGTGTGAAGATGGAGGAAGTTAGAAAGTCTGAGGAAAGGGCAGTTGTGAAGTACTTTGTAACAACAAGTTTGTATTTCGAGCTGAAGGGAAAGGCTCCACAAGAAATGTATACCAATATCTCAGTAACCTTAGGAGACCTGCCTATTCAACAATAATTACTAAGTGGTGATGCGGGAAATTTAACTTGGTTAGAGTGTTGTGTGAACATGCTAAACATTGTGTGCAGTCATCAACATCATTGACTTAAAAGGATGTTGAAAATGTTAGCAGCATCATAAAGTTGGACAGAATAAAAGCAGCTAGACCAATAGCAGAGCATGTGGGTGTTTCAGCTGGTCGTGTGCGCTTCATTCTGTCGGATAGTTTTATGTTTAGAAACGTCAGTATGCGATGAGTACCGGGAAACTTAACACAGCTCAGCAGACAACATATCTCGTTCATACATGAAAAATGCTAGTCTTCCTCAAGAAATAAATAAATAAATGAAATATTCCTCGGCGATGCAAGATGCAATCCAACTATGTGGCCTGATCAATGTGCACAGCAGGATCGCAAAAAATAATCAATTTGTCCACGCTTTTTACAATGGATCCAAAACGGATATTAAAGTAATTGGCAGGATCAAGGTACTAAAGAAATTAAAAAGCCAGGAACAACAATAAATGCAAATTTAAACAAATGTCCAGGTAAAGTAAAATGGTCACTCGTGGAACCGTCCCCAGGGGACCTGCTTCCATGCAAGGTATTCCCTCGAAAGTTTTCGTCCGCACTTCCATGCAATAACTGGCTGCTTGCCGGTGTGGCATAGTAGCACATGAGCCATCACCTGTTTATCAAATGTTCTGTTCTTTTTAGGGCTGCTTTTATACTTGTATTATGGGCGATGAAGCTTCAGCCCAGTCCGTCATGCGGATCATTCAATTATGGAACTTTTTTATACGCTACTCAGTTGGTGGCAGTATGCCTTGCATAGATAAAGTCTTTTATAATCTGGAAGCTATAATCCGTCACCACAGGAGATCAGCCCAGCCTTGGCTAATGTGATAAGGAAGAATGCGGAAGAAGAAGACTTGTGTGAAAGTGGTACTATATCGTTAATGTAAAAATTAAGCAGGTATGTTTTTACATCAGCGTAAAAATGGATCGAGCCGACCATTCGATCAAACTGTGCGTCGGGACAGCCGGAAGCAGATACTTGTACGGGCTGTCCATAGACAAAACGTCAACTAGGGAATCCGTTATTGCCATCACTGAATTCCAGTATACGTTTCGGGACTGTTAACTTCAGAAATGAAGGCGAAATGGTTAGCATTGCAAAACAAATATAGCGAAAGGAATCGCAGAACAATATTACGAATTAATCAATTTGTGAGGAGAAGTACGCAAGAAGTTCTCGGCCCCACACCAGGAAATAATGTTGCTCTTGGTTTTAGCTAGAAGACAGTTGGTATGAATTAAGTTTGAAAGGAGCAAAACCGCATAGGAGGTAGCATTAAAGAATAGCGTAAGAAGCGGTTGTAACAGCTCATCTTAGATGATCATGTTTGCTCTGATGCATTTGTTACATATGTTTCCAGTCGATGTTCTCCGGTATGCTACATGATCCGGCCCTTCTTCATACAGCTTTCCATCATCAAGTTGAATTTTTAAGATCCATTTCACTCTATCCGTTGACAGATAAACCTTTATCATTTACTTGAACATGCAGAAGTGTTCAATACATATAATCTCTTTTTGCAGCTTATTCCATTTAGAGCCATACCTAAGAAGGTAGAAATTTCTCCTTAAGCTGGTTTGGAATTTAAGTAAAGAGAATATGCATTCACTATCTCCCAGTTCATAAATGACATTATCCCGAAAGTGCACTTGATAGGTTCCAACATATACTTTCCGCTACGCGAGTTTGTGCAGGAAGCACAGATTTAATTACATTCTTCGTAACCACAGTGGTTTAATATTCAGCTCCTTGCACCTATCTCTGTATGAAAGAGCGGTTGAATAACCGAAATGCGCTTCATAAAGGCGCGTTGAATGTTTTCAATGGCTCTCAAGTCACACTTTCGCAAGTTTCTGTACGAAACACAGCAATATTCAAGCATATGTCAGGTACTGATTTTGAAAGCAATTAGTCTGGTTTCTTTCAAAGTTAGCAGGTGGCATATGAGCACGACCGACTGCTTAGCGTCTTTCGCGATATCATTTGTATGTTCGCTAAAGTTTAACGAACTAGAATATCTCAAACCTAAGTCACGAACTGACTGGCTGATGGGAATGACTTCGTCATGAAGCCTGAACACTTCTGCTGCTATCTGCCATCCATACGCCAGAATACTACATTTCGGTGTTGCGGACGTCATCTGCCACATATCAGCCCATCTCTCAATGGCTTCCAAGTCGCTTCGGATATTGTTAACTTCAGCGGTACGCTGAGAACCTGGGAACGTGTAGACCACCTTTAAATCATCAGCAAACAAATAAGGTTTCCCAAATTGTATAACAGAAACCAGGTCATTTATATACAGTAGGAAGAGTAACGGACCTAAGACACTGCCCTGTGCCACTCCACTGGTGACCAGACGAGGTGAAGAGATGTAACCATTGATATCCACAAGTTGAGACCGTCCTACTAGGTACGACTGGATCCAAAAGTGAAGCGGATTTGGAACACCGTACTTACTTAATTTATTTAGCAGCTTCTTGTGTGGGACTCTGTCAAACACTTTTTGTATATCCACGAAGATGACAACGCACTGAAGACCTGAGTCAATTGCTTCAGTTAGGTGGTTAAGGAAGTCAACTTGACAGGTAACACACGAGCGGGACTTCAGAAAACCACGCTGTGAAGGTGAGCGAAGTTTTGCGATATTAGGAACAAAACCAAATGTTCTTTAACAATGCTCTCTAGCATACGTGAGAGAATGGCTGTGTGACTAATGAGGCGGTAGTTCCGGATGTCAGTTTTCGACCCGGACTTATGTCTCGGTACAACCATAGCCGTTTTCCAACATTCGGGATCTTGACCAGACTGGAGAGACAAAGAGAAGATATTTAATAATATAAGAGGGATATCATCTCCACCGTGTGTGACTAAAGCAGAAGCGATCCCATCGGGGCCAGATCTGTAGGATGGTCGTAGACAGGTAATCCAACGTTTTATCGTAGCGACACTAAGCTCGATCGCTGAGACTTGTTCAGAGAAGTTAAACGAGGTTGAGAATTCCAGGGATTCTTTTTCAAGTATAAAGGATATAGCAAAGTATGAGTTAAAGGCTTCTGCCATAGCAATTGGGGAATCAATGCATTCGCCTTCAGGCATTATGATATTGGAGGGTAGGTCAGTTTTGCCACCTCTCCTTCTTCGCAATAGTGTAGCCAACAGTTGACTTGTATTACTACTATTAACAGCCCGTTGTTCTTCGAGAATGAGACGGGTGTGGTGTTTCATGTCCGTCTCAATTATATGGCGTTGGAGTCTCAGTAATACGCTGAAGTCGTAAGTACGTTCATATGTTCGAGTTAGCACTCGTATTTTACGCTTGTCCTTTGCGTTGATTGCGTACTTAGAAGAGGATCTCGTACCATCACGGGAGGCAAGTATGCTTACGCACATAGTCATATTGTCATAGAAGATGTCAGAGGCTCCCTTACTATCAGACGAAAGTAAGAAATGGTCCCAATTTTAGACCCTAAGCAGAGGGGAGAAAGCTACCCAATTAACATTTTGCAGGAAGTATGGAACCACCGCTGACCTCACATACGACGACTCAGCTATAATTTTACATCCGACTATTTTGTGATCACATCCAAGGAGACCGTCAATTACATCAGTAGCTATCGGGGAGGTGCCTGAGATAAAAAGTTGGTCTAGTATATTTTTACCCCTGGTAGCCACTAGAACATGTTGCTCCCAACCACCAGTGATGACGGAGGTTATGAACTCAGCCTTGCTTTCGATCACTTCTAATAAGCTTGTAACCTTCGATAGAAAACAGCTGGCTGGGCATAGGATCATGACACCAGGTTTCAGTGAGTAAAATCATATCAGGTTTATTCAGATATATGAAGGTGTGGAGTAAATGAAGCTTATTCAACAGAGAACGGATATTAAGTATCATCAGTCTTAAAAAGTGTTGGCGCTGTTCATCATTCCACCCAGTATTTACTCTTGCAACCATATTAGTTCTAGAGTCTTTCGCAGCAAATCCCTTACCGTGGGATTCGCCAGTCCTATCAGGATTAGAGGGGGTGGGGGAATGCAAAAAGCATGATGTGGTAATTTGGGGCGATTGAGTTTAAGTGGATAGAGTGTTATTGCCGAAGGGCTGCCAAAAGGCATTGTGAGAGGCGGAGGCGGAAGCGAGTATGGATAGGGGCATAAATAAGTGGTCTGTGATTCAACAATGCCATGTACAGGCCTGCCAGGAGAACAGCCTTGGCACATCGCCGGAACAATGGGAATTGTGGCTTGCCACTCTGTGCAGCTGCATTATTATTCACAACTGTCATTGGGACACGAGGAGTCACCTTTCCAGCAAGAAGGCCCCTATTTGTTCTAAGACGCTTAGGGCGTGGGCCATGACCACTGCTGCCATGTGTAGTCATAATGTCAATGGGCCGTAATGCACCTTCACTGGAGCTATCGATAGCCCCATTGGATGTTTTTGGACTT